CGAAAAGCGTCCTCAGCTCAGCGTCCAGTAAGAATTCCGGCGATTCTCGACTTCAATTGAAAGATATTAGCTCGCCAGTAGGTGACCGTTGTGTGTTAGGCGTGCGTTTGAGTTTGTCTCCGGCTGCTGAGAGCAGCGATGGAATGGTTAGTTAGTCAGGAGGTGATCGTTCGGGCAACATTCAGCCCAGCCAGTGTCACGCATGGCAAAATACACGGTTAAAATACACATGTTCACCCTATTGAGACCAGTTGTTATGGTGGAAACTTTGGCCGCTTTGTGGGACGGGAAAATATCATCAGATCGGAATGAAATTTTGCACAGAACCTTGTACCATAGTATCGACAAGAATTCCGACCCGGCCCGACGAATCCGACAAACTTTTTTTTTTTGCCATGAAAATGTGGACCACCCTAATATATATATATACACCGTATTTTCCGCACTAAAAGACGCACTGGATTATGAGGCGCACCTTCAATGAATGGCTATTTTGTAAATTTTTTTTCATATATTAGACGCTTCGCATCAAAAGGCGCAATCTACAATGCTTTCACTAGATGGTGCTACGCTCTTTCCATTCAATTCGAGAGGTGTCCGTTCAACTTGAGAGGCGTTCATGACCGCCTCCGAAAAATGTAAATTAACTATTACTGTACTTAAATGAAACTACGAAAATTGAAAATAATGCATCAAAACAGAAAATCAAGCGAGGAAATCACAAAATAAATTCTATATTGTTTAAGTTCATGTGACGGCTGAAGTTACTTTCAGAATAAATGGAAGATTATCAGGCCATTGTTGTCAATATTTCTGCAAAAATCACACATCACAAAACTCTGGGGACCTTGACAAAATACTTGGCGACATGAGTATGTTTTTGACAACCAAAAGGCAGATGAAATATTTTGAAATGTATTATCAAAAGTCAAAGGACAGTTTGACTGGATTTTGACAGAGAAGGTATCTGCCATTATCCTCATCTCATAGTTCCAATGTTTAGGAAATAATGGTGTGTTGTAGGTCGAACTCAAGATGAAGTACAATGATCAGCACTCAAAGAGTAGAGGTCTTCTCCCTGGCCATCACTGGTATGAGATGCAGGCTTACCGAGCTCTAAACCAGGCCCTGGGAAGGTGAATATGCTGTTGCAATTTTATTGATTTGAACTGAAATTGAAAACAACACATTTAATATATGATTTTACGTGTTCAGGTGTATTCGTCACAGAAAAGACTGGGGTGCCCTAATCTTAGTGGATGACCGTTTCAGGAATAATCCAAACAAGTATATCAAAGGTAAGATGGTAAATTTAGATCATGTGTATTTAATATAAACCTGCTCCTGTGGTAGCTTTGGCAATCCAACAAGTACGTTAGCTGGTTGGTTTCATCCATGCCTTGTATCAGTTGTTTCAGTTGTTCATTACACTAAAACTAATGATCTATGAAACAATTTCTTTCTCAGCTCTTGTGACCACTTTAGTCTGCATTATCTATGAAAATATTGGTTTAATAGTTTTGGTGTGGACCTCTGGGATTTTCTTTGTCAGTATAACCCCAGATTTAAATGGAATATATATAAATGTGTGTATATATATCTATATCTATAGATATAGATATATATACACACATTTATATATATTCCATTTAAATCTGGGGTTATACTGACAAAGAAAATCCCAGAGGTCCACACCAAAACTATTAAACCAATATTTTCATAGATAATGCAGACTAAAGTGGTCACAAGAGCTGAGAAAGAAATTGTTTCATAGATCATTAGTTTTAGTGTAATGAACAACTGAAACAACTGATACAAGGCATGGATGAAACCAACCAGCTAACGTACTTGTTGGATTGCCAAAGCTACCACAGGAGCAGGTTTATATTAAATACACATGATCTAAATTTACCATCTTACCTTTGATATACTTGTTTGGATTATTCCTGAAACGGTCATCCACTAAGATTAGGGCACCCCAGTCTTTTCTGTGACGAATACACCTGAACACGTAAAATCATATATTAAATGTGTTGTTTTCAATTTCAGTTCAAATCAATAAAATTGCAACAGCATATTCACCTTCCCAGGGCCTGGTTTAGAGCTCGGTAAGCCTGCATCTCATACCAGTGATGGCCAGGGAGAAGACCTCTACTCTTTGAGTGCTGATCATTGTACTTCATCTTGAGTTCGACCTACAACACACCATTATTTCCTAAACATTGGAACTATGAGATGAGGATAATGGCAGATACCTTCTCTGTCAAAATCCAGTCAAACTGTCCTTTGACTTTTGATAATACATTTCAAAATATTTCATCTGCCTTTTGGTTGTCAAAAACATACTCATGTCGCCAAGTATTTTGTCAAGGTCCCCAGAGTTTTGTGATGTGTGATTTTTGCAGAAATATTGACAACAATGGCCTGATAATCTTCCATTTATTCTGAAAGTAACTTCAGCCGTCACATGAACTTAAACAAATACTTTGGAGAGTTTGACCTTGTCTCACAGATGGTGTATGGGACAGATGCCATGACAAACTGAGTGGTGGAAGGTGAGGAGGTCTCAGTGTCATGAGCCATTCCTGCCCAAAAATGACAGGAATCTTTCCAACAACTGGAATCTGTCGATGCTCACTGTTATCATCAACATTTTGAAATGGACAAGTGAAAAGTTCATCTGCCGTCTGAGGGGTAGCCATGAAGGGCAGGTGACTGAACAGAGCTATAACTAATCTTGACAGGTACTCTTTGTTCGCCCAGAGCTACCAAAGGCATGTGACAGGTACATCATGTTCCCTCATGTGCATTAAACAAAGTCACTGTAGCATAGCTCGCCTTTATTCAAACAGTTACACCAAATGAAAATACTTGCTGAAAATTTACGACGATGACTGAGCACAGCTCAAGTACTGACAGAACCACATTAGCCTGGCCTTGCGGGAAAACACAAAATCAAATCACCTGCATTATCAATACACGGTGGTTCTCTTGAACAATCCAATAAATGTCCGGCTTCATGCTCGTGTTTGCCATGTACCACATGAGACAGTTGAGCAATTAAAATAAATAAATAAATGAATGAATAACTTCTAAACCTACAGCTCCTGCACAAAATGCCAGTAGCCCAGAGGGAGGCTGTCATCTAAATCCAATTCTGACCCATTTTAGCATTCTGGCTACCAAAGAAACCTGGCCTGTGTACTGTCATCTTCCAATCTAACATGACAGGTAACATATGTGAAAAAGCCACTTATGGCTTGGAGCAAATCTCACAATGTGCAAGAAACCACAAGCTAGAAGGGATTAGTTGAAATGTCAAGAGATCACTCGCTTGCTTTGGCCTTGCCATCTAAAACCTGTTCATCCTGAAAAATATATGAGACCATGATTAGGGATGGCTGTCAGCAAAGCACATCTAAAGACTATTTTAAACTGGACTTTGGAGGTGGTGGAGAAGTGGAAGGTGCATTTGGAGCTACATGACTCTCCCTCTTGCAGTTTGGGGCATCTGGTGTCACTGAGGTTGTTGAGGGGCCTCATCTCCTACTGAAATTAATCGACATTAGAGTGACTCATTCGGTCGGATGTGTCTGTGTGAGCAAGGAACACAGACATTTGTTGAAAAGAAATTGCTCTTTTATCACATTATTGCCATATGATTAATGGATTTGGAAAATTATAATCTGTAGAATGATTTTGTCATTTTACATAAAGATGCAACAAAAATTATTTGTAGATCCTTCATCATGCAGCACTGTTAAAACAACAGAGGAGTTTGTGTGTCAAGTTTTGATTGGCAGTCAACAGCCAGACTTATACCCTACAGAGCCTGCTCTACAGATTATGGATGAGACTGAAGAGAGCAACACCAAACATCCATCCATCCATTTTTCCGATCCGCTTTATCCTCACAAGGGTCGCCAGGGGTGCTGGAGCCTTATCCCAGCTGTCTTCGGGCAGTTGGTGGGGGACACCCTGAACCGGTTGCCAGCCAATCGCAGGGCACACAGAGATGAACAACCATCCGTGCTCACACTCACACCTGGGGATGATTTGGAGTGTTCCATTAACCTGCCATGCATGTTTTTGGAATGTGGGAGGGAACCGGAGTACCCGGAGAAAACCCACGCTGAGAACATGCAAACTCCACACATGAAAGGCCGGAGCCGGGATCAAACCCACAACCCCTGCACTGTGAGGTCAACGCGCTAACCACTGGACCACTGGGACCCCAAACATCACAAAAGCAAAATTTAGTTTGGCGATCTCAATGGGCCACATGCTTCACGCAGTAATTTCAAGCAAATGATATGCAAAAAAGGAGAGGCTTCATTTAATTAGTTTTAAAGTCATCTGTTCATTACTTTGGCTCATATAAACGTGGTCTGTTGTTTCAAAGGTGGTGGTGGTCAACTGGTGAGAACATCTGCCTCACAGTGCAGAGGTCATGGGTTCGATTACGGGCACCGACCTTCCTGGGTGGAGTTTACATGTTCTCCCCACGAGCCTGCGTGGGTATTCTCCGGGAACTCCGTTTTCCTCCCACATCCCAAAAACATGCTTGGTAAGTGTATATCTAAAGTGTCCCTCAATGTGATTGTGAGTGTGAATGTTTGTTTGTGGGCCCTGCGACTGGCTGGCAACCAGTTCAAGGGTGTAGTCCGTCGACTGTCCTAAAACGGCTGGTATAGGCTCCACCACGCCCGTGACCATCGTGATTTCAGATAATGGATGGATGTTGTCTCAAAGAGGTACCATTCGAGTCTGCTGACCCACTGCATCATTAGCTGTGTCCTTTTTTGTAGGCTGTGTACTCTGAAGGGCCCTTCGCACGGTGGATACTTCAAAGTCTCTTCCTCATAAAGCCTTTTGTGGACCGCATAGACCGTGGCAAATTTGGACAGGGCTAGCAACTCTCAATTCACTGTCTTCTGTACCGCCGCAATATGACGGCAATGTGCTCAGCTGAAAGAGGATACAAAGTGTTGAAGTGCAGAAGCAGAGTGGCACCAAAGAAAAGTGGAGCAACATAGGCTACAAAAGCGTGCTTCAAAAGTAGGTATAATCAAGTGTTTAATTCATTCACTCCTAGCCGTTTGCTGCACAGCCAGCCCCCTGAACGTCAGCCATTCTAGAGGATTTTGGCCCACGGAATCTTGTGTTCTATGCAAGCGGTCCCGAACCACCGGGCCGCGGACCGGTACCGGTCTTTGGCTCATTTGGTACCGGGCCGCTCAGAAAGAATAAATAACTTACATTACTTCCGGCTTCACGGTCACGTGATAGGTTACTGCTAAAATGAAATCAGGAGCGAGCAAAATGAGTAAAAAACAGACGTCTTTGGAAAGTTTCTTTGGGAAGGGGAAAAGGCCCAGCCAGGAGACAGAAGAGGAGCCTATGACATTCAAGAAAAAGAAGGCTACATTTAAAAGACAGTATCAGGAGTCCTACTTAAAATACGGATTTATCTCAACGGGAGATTCCCACGCACCAAGCCCACTCTGCATAATACGTGGCGATGGTGAGTCATATTTTTCATGCACTTTGTATTTGCGAAGTATCTTATTTTGAAGTCACGTTTAAACGTTACCATAGCGACCAGAGAGTGTTGCGGCCAGATCGGATGTTCCTCGTGTCATGGTTCATGTTTATTATTATGTTCAGAAAATACCACAGTTTTCATGCAGGTCGTATCATATTTTTTGTTGCATTTATCCGCCACACTTGAAAGGCCGGTCCCTGAAAATATTGTCAGAAACTAAATTGGTCCGTGGGGCAAAAAAGGTTGGGGACCACTGTTCTATGCTACACAAACATGGAAACTACGAAAAGAAAGATTAGACTCTCTTCTTTCATCAAAAGTTTATTCTAGCATTTGTCATTCTTCAGTCTTCTGCAGCAGAACATAGGCACGTTAAAATGAAAATCATTTTTTACAATTATAACATTTGCCAAAAATATATGAGCATTGTGCGATATATAGTCACGTGTGTGAGTGCACGTATGTGTGTGTGTGTGTGTGTGTGTGTGTGTGTGTGTGTGTGTGTGTGTGTGTGTGTGTGTGACTGTGCATCTGTGTGTCTGCACACACACATCCTTCCCGAGAAGGATGGAAGATCTTGTTAGTGCAAGGGCACATGACAGGATAAACACCATGGTGTTCACCCGAACACATGGTGAGAGTTGTTTTTTTGTTTTTTGTTTTTTTTGTGTAGAAACCCAGCGAGAAAAATCAGTGCCAAAAATGTTCAATGTTCATTCACTGAGGCGGATTCTCCCAGTCAGCATGGTGCCAGCCAGAATCACTAAGACGTCGGTTCCCTGCATGACATGTACAACATAGAAAAAAAAAACAAAAAAAAACATAAAAATACATTTGCCTGTTACAAAGTGAAGTAAAGAAAAAAATGTTTTCACCTTTCCTGACCCTGCCAACAGGAGGAATGGGAGTGATTCTGCTCCTGGATCCACAACCTAATGTATGCAAATATGTACATTACCACCCAAAAAACTTTTTTGTTGTTGTTGCAGTCACACACATGATGTTTTCTCTACTTCAGACTCACATTTACACTGGTTTAAACAAGTCATTCGTTCCTGATTGTATGACATCCAAGGTTTCTCTGCTAATTTATTCAGTGATTTCAGCTTTACTGTTTACTGCTATCTTTAACTTAATATTTCCATAATTCATATGTATGGGACACACGAGTACTGGTAAATAAATGTTAGATTATAGGAAGCATAGCATATGAATTTGAAAAAGACTGATGTCAAGTATCAAAGGATTAATTTTCAAATTACTGAAGTTAGTATGGGAGTAAAGTAAGTTCGTGCTTACCGCTTTTGCCTTTTTGTGGATGCTGAGGAACAAGTCTCCGCTGCTCTCAGTCGATCCAAAAGGGGAAATATTCCTCATTAGAGTCAGGATCAGCATCACGAACCCCCCCCCCCCCCCCCCAAAAAAAAAAAAACCAAAGAAAAAAACAATCCCAGTCCCTAAATAACGTGGCCTTGGTTCAGAAGCACGGCGAGGTAGTCAGATGCTGACCGGTTGGCTCCCCTCAATCGATGGTGTGTCTACTTTGACACCGCTCACCCTCGACGCATCAGCGAAGCTCAGGAGAAGAGCACCATGGGCACACGCATGCTCTCAGAGTCATTGTTATTTTGATCAACTGATGACAACCTCTTTGTAGCTTCTAATTCTGAAGAGAGTGTCGTCCAGTGTCAGCTGCCTGTATTTTTCAACGTTTCAATCGCTTTGCATACTTCTTATCTCTCCCTTAGCTAGGCCCTATTATTTCCTTCTCTGGGTTTATTCTACCTAACAAAAAGTACTGTCTATGAGCTAGTCAAAGGCACTGTTGACATCTGCTGGCCATTGCACCTCATTGGAATCCTTTTCATGCTCGACACTTGGTGGGGAATTGCATGAGGTCCTCCTGCATCCAACGCATTACAAAGAATAATAAAAAGCAATACCTGGGTTCAGGCGTGGATGGCGTTAAATGGCTGCATCATTAAAAAAAAAAAAAAAAACACCGAGGTGGGGAATAAAGAGTGTTTTCTTGTTTTTAAAAGGTTAATACTGATTAACACTAACTGTTAAAAGGTTAATACTGATTAACACTAACTTTCTCATATTCACGAAATATTTGCATCAAATATAAAAATATTTGATGCACCATATTAAAAAATTAAGGTTTCAGAGAAATCATTGACTGTGTAGTTAAAAAGGTTTTTGTGATGGTAACAGATTGGACTGCAGAACAAAGTGTGTCTAAAATAATTTATCCATCCATCTTCTATACCGCTTGTTTTTAAAGAAAATTTAAAGATTCACTAAATCATGTCTAGCATGGTTTTGGAATGTGAAAGAAAATCTGGATTACCCAGAGCAATGCAGGCCGGGGGGAGAACATGCAAACTCTTCACAGGAAGGTCGAAGCCAAGATTTGAACAGGATCTCACAACTGTTAGGTAGAATAGCTTCACAGAACAGATTCTGGTTGGCCTTTGCGGTACCGCTGTAGCAATAGTGATCTGCTAAATTGTCAAGTTCGAACTCTACTCCAAACTTGGGCAGTTGTGCGAGGTCTTAGCAGAATATTACACGGCCGAGTCTTGGCCACTGGTTTTGCAGCAACTCTAAATCTGAATTGCATTTGTACAATGTGACGACATTTCAAATTCTAGCCAATCAAAATGCATGTAGGCTTTCACACAGGCAAAAAAGCAATTGCCGGGTTTTAAGTGAACAAGACACTCCCTCCCGTCGCTGTATCATAAAAAAATACAGTATACACAGTACACAAATTGTGTTTTACAATACTTAACCATAATTTACGATTTCATTGGGAACTGTGAATGAAATAGTGATGTTTGTAATAATAAGGTCCGCACATCTCGCAGGGTCCATTCAAGTGAATCGGAGCAAGCCCCATTAATATAGCCAGACTTTCCTCTTTATTATCTATCACCCATGACTGACACTATCTTTCTCTATCCAGCCACCCATTCTCTACACCACTTATCCTCACTTGGGTTGTGAGCTGATATACATATACAGTCATACCTTGGTTTTTGACCATAATCCGTTCCAGAAGGCTGTTCGAAAACCGATATGTTCGAAAACCGAAACGACGCTCTTTAAAAAAAAAAAAAAAAAACCTTTATTCAAAACGTCTGCTCACAATGGAACGCTACACGAGGAAGAGATGCTTCCGAGGCATAAAAAACTCAAAATTTTTGGTCGAAAACCGATTTGGTCGAGAACAGAGACGTTCGAAAACCGAGGTTTGACTGTACATATAGAGTATATTACACAGCTTCATCATATTATTACCGTTCCCTATACAGCTTCTTTTTTCGTCTCTCTCTCTCTCTCTCTCTCTCTCTCTCTCTCTCTCTCTCTCTCTCTCTCCCTCTCCCTCCCTCCCTCCCTCCCTACAAATGGAGGTCAGGTGCTGAGAACACAGTGTTTATTTAGTTTGCAGTAGGTTTTGGTTACTGGTTTCTATTTTAAGTAGGCGGAAAGAGGATCTTTGTTTGTATGGCTTCATGCTGCTGGCAGATGTATTTTGGACAGCTGACATGGTGCCATGCCATCAAACATGTCCAAGCGGTACAGTGTTCTGCTGACAAAGCTGTTGGAAGGTGGTGGGCTGCGGGAACGTGAAGTCCACCCTGCCGTATGAACAGCACGGTTGTTATTTTCCTGGTGTTCTCCCGCAGGTTATCCCAGCTAAGAGGATAACAATCTCTTAACACGCCTCTGTGTGTCAAAAATGATTTGCTGGCTAAAGAGTTGCCCTGATATGACCAGCTGGTGTCATCGATAAATGTGGTCACTGCAAATTAAATCCCCTAAGCTGAAATGTGCCATGAGTCGCAGGAAACTGGTGTATATGATACTTGGAAGACAAAACAAGCAACCTCAAGCTGTCCTCAAGCTTAACCTCAACACACACGCTCTGGTGAGACATGAAGCAAGCGGAAAACAAAACAAAGTCGAAGCTCTTCAAGAAAAGGTGTCTCAAGATGAAGAAAATGTCCCTAATGAACGTGCGAAAGAAAACAAGTGGAAATGACTCGCTGAGTTTGTAGACAAAGTCATGTCGAACGATGAGCTTTTAAAAATTTTACAAAAGAAAAAATGTAGTTCACTGCCATGTCAGAGAAGATGAGGACTTTTATCGGCGTGAATATTATGACCATTAGTGTAAAAAACTGTTCCTAATAGTCCTAAAATTCAAAAAAGTTCTTTGGCGTCACACACCACTCACGATTTGGCAAGGACTGACTTAGATATATTTATGTTTCCTCTCTAGGCTTTAATTTGGATTCATTTTTCATTTAGTCTGATTTGAATCTTACTTTGCTTTTAAAAATTTTACAAAAGAAAAAAATTTAATTTACTGCCATGTCAGAGTAAGATGAGGACGTTTATCGGAGTGAAGAGGAGCAGCAGAGTCTGTTTTACTTTTTGAAAAACAAAAACAAAAAAAAAAAAAAAAAAAAAAAAAAAAAAAACAACGACAGAGGGTTTGAGAGTTCCTGCCATGGAGAAGGATTTAAAAAAAAATCTTGAAGTGTTCCTGCACTCTGCTTGGCCGCTCACCAATAAAAAATGGGTAAATGCCAAATGGGCTTTCACTTGTTTAGCACTTTTCTACCTTCAATATACTCAAAGGTGACGCAGCATCAGGACCTGACAAGGGTAGGCAACATCCGGCTCACGGAACAAAATTGGCTCGCCGCCAATTATATCATGTTCGATTCCAGCACTGGCTTTCCTGTGTGGAGTTTGCATGTCCTCCCCTTGCCTGCGTGGGTTTCTCTGAGTCCTACACTTTACCTCCCTAACATTTTCAAAATATGCATTGTAGTTCAATTGAACACTCTAAATTGTCCCTAGGTGTAATTGTTAATGTGAAGAGTTGTTTGTCTGTTGTGTGACCTGCGATTGGCTGGCATCCAGTTCAGGGTGTCCCGCCTATTGCCCAAGACAGCTGAGATAGGTTCCAGCACGCCCAGGACCCTCGTGAGGATGAGCGGCTCAGAAAATGGATGGATGGATGGCTTCTTCTTTACCCGTGTTCCTTGATTAAGAATGTTCATGTGTTTCTGCCTTAAATTGAATGTTGGGATCTCAGCAAAGAAATCATTGTATGTAGGCAGGATCATATTTCTAATACTATAAATAAGAAATATATGACAAACACTGTCAAACAGGATGTGTACCGTGAATCTTATTGCAATACCTACAGGGAGGCTTACTGCAAATACAGTGATCAATAGATACAACCAAATTAGGAGTTTTCAATATCATTAGTGTGGTTTCCTGATGAAGATGTAATTTCAGGAAAGTAATTTGGCCCATGGCCAAACTCATAGCCAACCCTGACCGAGGATTTGACCTGAGATTCAGACCTCGTGATACAAAAGACATGGTAACTTTCCATGGAATTATGGTTGTGACCTTTTTTGGTGTCCACAACAAATTGACTCTGTGGAATAAAATTACACTTTGTAGCTCAAGAGAGAAAAATGTTTACAGTTTATATGACTGTCACCATCTGTTTTACCACAATGAATAACAGTATAAGCAGGTTTTTATTTGTGTTTTAAATACACTCGCTTGTCCAGGCAGAACTGAACTGAGCTTTTAAACTTAGTTTAAGGATGGGCAAAATGGCAGTGTATAGTATCAGGAAAGAAAACCATGTTATAATAAAGATTATTTCAAAATGACCTCTATTTACATTAGTTATGCGTTTTGCAATCATTTTCTGTTATGACCTCCCAGGAAAGTGAAAACAATCCATTGCCCCTCAACATCTATAAATAATGCAATTTGTCTGGGATAAGTACACTTCTGTATTACAGTGTGTCCTTAAATTTAAAGAAAAAAAAGAAAGAAATATAGATCAACTTACAATAAAGAATAACTTTATTAATGTTGTTTTTAGTCTCCGGCAGCGAACATTTAAAATGTATAAATTTGCCAGAAATTAAAATCAGTAAAACGCCACCTACTGTAGTGGATGAGCAATTACATTTTATTCTAGTATGTATAAAACATCAGTGGTGGGCAATATCATCCTTCATTTGTCATTCGCCAGTGGCTGTCACGCCAGTCCATCTCATTATTTCAACCTGGTCTGTCAATCATTACTCTGCCACTCATTTTTAAAATGGTGCTTCCATCATCATTCAATTACAGTTGGGCCATATTATGACCACCAGTGTAAAAAAACTGTTACTGATAGTCCTAAAATTCAAAAAAGTTCCCCAGTGTCACATGCACTCACACACCACTCACTATTTGGGAAGGACGGCCTTAGATATGTTTGTATTCTCTGCTTTCATTTTGATACCTTTTTTATTCAGTCTGATTTGAGCCTTTCTTTGCATAAATGGATCATGGATGAACAGCAGTGGTTGACCTACCTGGAGGTTTTTAATATTTGGGAATGGGATTCCAATCGTGACCACTGCTCTTGCATTGTCATCTGTGAAGTCCAGTCCTTCACTCACTTTTCCCCGACATACAGCCAGCAGGAGTGCACCATCTATGACATTAAAACCATGAGAGAAGTAAATGCAATATCAAGATAACAATTGAAGCTGTGATTTGTCCTTGTATTAACCAAGTTGATTGAAATTGAAGCGCTGGTTCGAATCTTGCTGCTCACAAAATGGAAAATGAGAGCTCATTGTTGGAGAGATGCTTGTCTGCTTTCTGATTATTGTTGAGGTCAGAGGTGCCCTTGAGCAAGGTGCTGACACCACCGTCCACCTCAAGAATTGTCACACTATTTGTGATCCACTTTCCCTGTGACATCTCGTCTTGTAAGCCAATATATGTGTGACGTGATTTTTCTGTGAAGTGTATACCACAAATATACAGCAGTGTGTGAATTGAAAAGCACCTTGAGGGATGAACAGAAACAAAAATAACTCACCGATTTTCTCAGAGGACTTAATCGCATTGTAGTAAGCCTGAAGAAGTTCATCAAAGTCACCTTTTCCACCACCACGAGGCTCTGTTATCACTTTTTTTTGTTTTTCAAGTTTCTCCCAAACGCCTGTGATGCTCCATCGATCCTGCATTTTACCCAGCATCTGAACAAATAAGAGTATCATCACATTTTGAAATACAGTCCTTTGTCAAATTGATTTGTTTAATAAGCAGAATTCATTGCAGTGGTGCCTTGAGATATGAATTAAAATAATTCTGTGACCACACTTAGAACTCAAAATGAATCATCTTTACCCTTTGAAATGAATGGAATTTTGCCATTAATCTGTTCCAAAAACAAGAATCAAAACATATTGTAATGTGGACTTTTTTAACGAGATCAATTGAACAGATTACTTTATCAAAACATTTTGATGGAATTATTAAATAGAATGGAAAGACCTAATTCATTTCAGCTACTGCTGGTTTGAGTAACTTGGCCACCGGGAGGCAGTATAATACTTTCGACCAACACACAGTGCTTAGGATGATGAGGAAAGGCCGCCTCTGACATTGCTCTGGCACCTGTGGTTCGACTGGTAAACACGTCGGCCTCACAGTGCAGAGGTGCAGGGTTCGATTTCGGCTCTGGCCTCCCTGTGTGGACTTTGCATGTTCTCCCCATGCCTGCGTGGGTTTTCGCCGGGTACTTCCATTTCCTCCCACATTCAGAAAACATGCGTGGCAGGCTAATGGAACACTCAACATTGTCCCTAGGTGTGAGTGTGAGCGCGGATGGTTGTTCTTCTATGTGTGCCCTGCGTTGGCTGACAACCAGTTCAGGGTGTACCTCACCTAATGCCCAAAGACAGCTGGGGTCGACTCCAGATGCCCCATGGACCTTGTGAGGATAAGCGGATCAGAAAATGGATCGATGGATGGATATATTTTAGTTGAGTGACCCATGAGAGGTCACTCAAACATGGGGAATTTTAAATTCAGCCTCTTGGGCGTATATGATGAGATAGGTGACTTGAGCCAGGCAAAAGCTTAGCTCAAGTGATGTATCTTTCTATGAAATTTCTCTTGCTTTCATTTGACTTCTCTTCTCTATGACACCCTTGGCAAATAGGAATCCATTAAATAGTTCAACTGAGAATAAAGTCTTCTGGTAGTTAGTATGGGTATAGCAAGCATTAACTTTAAAAGAACCTTTCAAGGCTGTTGAGAAGAAGAGAAGCGGTGGGGGGAGGGGGGGCATAGTTGATAGATGTGCAGGTGGAAGTAGGCTCACTGTGTATGACTGTTTTACCGATCCAACGGAATTTCTGGTGACACCGGCCTCCATTTGACCAATGACATGGAGGCATGACCACACACCAAATGTATGCAGCCTCACACAGAAATATGATATTGTTGGTCAATATCTGAATTTGCATATTACCATTTGATGTTTTCGTCGAAATGACAGTTATGCTTTGATTAAAAATCCAAATCTTTAGTGAGTCACTAGTTAGTCCTGCAATTTTTTTTTTTGTTTTTTTAAACTGAACACTCAAGTAATTATTTTACTTCTACTCTAGTTGTATTATACCATAGGTGTCAAACTCAGGTCCTGGAGGGCCGCTGTCCTGCATGTTTTCCAAGTCTCCCTGTTGCAACACACCTGATTCAAATGAACAGGTTCGATGTCAGGCTTCCGCAGAGCTTGCTGATGATCTGATCATTTGAATCAGGTGTGTTGCAACAGGGAGACTTGGAGAACATGCAGGACAGCGGCCCTCCAGGACCTGAGTTTGACACCTATGTATTATACTGAAGAAACAGTCCTCTTACATGTGTGCAATTTATGGCTACTCTACCCACCTCAATTGGGAGCCCTGTCAGAAATGTGGCAATCATGGTACATACATAAACAGTGCCTTGGTTTTAGCCAGCCTTTCTAACCGTTGCTGTGCTCCCAATGCAAAAATTCTTCTGGATTTCATATTCAATGAGCATCTTTTATTTTCATTTTAAATCAGTACGAATGCATATTTACCTTGTAGGATGGCAGGAAGCAAAGCACACCCTTGGGCATAACTTTGCAAACATGCAGTAGCAGGTCACCAACTTCATCCTGGAAGGCATACGTTTCAGCATGTTGAAAGGTGGCACAGAGCTTTCTGCCTTGAGGTCCAACACCAACAGTGCCAACCCAAACCTGCAGAGACATTTTCTTATTTGATTTTCACATTTTTCATTCTTCACTGAGTATGGCTGCTCTCACATGCTATCAATAGCCCTGTTCACACGGCAAGATTTACTCCGACGCTGCACCGAAGTATTTTGATGCGATATATTTTACACCGCAACAAATTTCGTGGAGCGTTCACACGTACAAGCCGCTGAGCGACACTGCACCGACGTAGTGCCGAAGTAACTCCACTTGCGGTCACACGGGGCAGTATTTTGTTTCGCAGTAAAACATGCGCATGCGTAAAGAAAGAAGAAGGCGGGGAAAGGAAGTACCATTTCCCCTCCTTCGATTGTAACAAAAATGGCTGAAGTTTCATCGTCGCCCCAGTTCACCCCCCTGCTTTCGTTTTTTTCACAAGTGTTTATAGAAATGTTGCTGTGACCCGCCATGTTTTCAAGCACAAAATACCCAGGATGCATTTGCAAGTACCCGTATGGACTCTTCCAGCGCGTAGCGAGGCCACTCCCCGGCAAGCGAGCATTTGCTCTGGAGCAAATTTACGCCAGTTGCGTTCACACGCGCACATTTGCTTCGGTGCTGCTTCGCAAATGAGCATTTGCTTCGGAGGAAATTTTTAAACCACCTCCCTGAGGTGGATCAAATTTAATGCGCACTAGGCTGTTGAGCGGCGCTACGTCGAAGTAAATTTGCACGTGTGAACGCTCCACTGGCGTAGAGTCGGTGCAGCGTCGGAGTAAATCTTGTCATGTGAACGGGGCTATAGTAAAGTCTTGTTTAACTTCTGAATTTTTAACAGTTGTCATCTGGCATGAGTATATTTGTGTGCATGTGAAGGTGGGGTCCCTCTGCTAAGGGCAAGCAAATTGGAGGAAGAAAGAGAGAGCAGCCTGGACTGTTGTGGCAAAGGCGGCCATGACACCAGCATTCTGAACACGTCTGACCAGCAAGACAGCACATAATCAGCAGCATTCAAGATTAGCAAAATGTGTCGGGGTGTGTGTGGACAAAACCACCAAAAATGATCCTCAAGTGATGTTTTCGTCCATTCACCTCTGAACATTCCTGCTGTTTTAGCACGAGGTCTGCCCAATTAAAAAAACCCAACCCCCCCCCCAAAAAAAAAACAAAAAAAAAACGACTCAGTCCGCAATCTCTATTTGTAAGATTGAGCTGCCACCTCCGTAACATCCCAGCAGACTAAACACGCCCAATTTCTCTGAGCAGACAGTGGGATGCCCGACAAGCGTATCCGGGAAAAAGGCACTATGAGCGGCCTCCCTGGCCGAGGGGCCGAGCTCCTCTGGCGACAGACCATCCAGCAGCTATTTGTGTGTGATCGGAATTTCTCAAAGAACTGCTTGGTGAACCTTAGTCAGTACAAAACTGGATTGGCCAGGAGATTTATACCTTAAAACTAGCGCAATCATCACAAACAAATATGCTACAGAGGCCAGAGCTTTAATTAAATATGCTGCAGTCGATGTAAATAAGTTTATATAGCGCAACATACAATTTTACAAAAATTGTAAAAGTATTATTCCTGAATATTTATTTTACTTTCAACCACTCGACATGTTCAGTGGCATCAGTGCTATACATACACATATAGTTCTTATTTTTTTCTTTGTATTTTTGCCCTCCATGGACAATAAAAGCGGCATTGTGCTATGATATAAATCTATATAAATAAAACATGAATTGGCATATTTCATATCACACAATTTTTATGCTTTGTCTTTGATTTAAAGATGACAATACGCAAAAATCTACAAAAATTGTAGAAATTGTAACACATGGGTTACGTAAATCAGACCGCTTGCTAAAAGATGACAATATTAGCATTAATGTACATTTAGCTTCGTTGACAAACACGGTATGGCAGATGTATTTTGTTGTTGAAAAAAAATTATTTACTTGTTTTATACATTTCCAAATGAATTGTTGAATAGTATATCAGTACTGAAATAAAGATTACCACTAGACACTGTATCGAGGACGGAAGGCTCAAACAATATCTTCTTCCAGCATTATTACAATGTACTGTTTTGTGTGTGTGTGTGTGTGTGTGTGTGTGGGGGGGGGGGGTCGACTGGTTAGCACGCCGGCCTCACGGTGCAGAGGCGCAGGGTTCGATTCCGGCTCCGGCCATCATCCTGTGTGGAGTTTGTATGTTCTCCCGGTTCCTGCGTCGTTTTTTTCCGGGTACTCACGTTTCCTTCCACATTTCAAATACATGCATGGAAGGTTAATGGAACACTCTAAATTGTCCCTAGGTGTGAGTGTGAGCGCAGATGGTTGTTTGTCTATGTGTGCCCTCCGACTGGCTGGCGACCAGTTCAGGGACTACCCTGCCCGAAGACAATTGGTATAGGCTCCAGCAGGCTCCAGTGGTTGAGTGAACGCTGGTGCGTCTGGCTGCCGCTGCCGACCCGCTATTATTTTTTTTTACCGTTTG